CATCGTTTAAAGGTGTTATGAAGGCAAGCGACGGAGGACGATAGAGAGAGAGAGAGTGTGTGAGAGATAGAGAGAGAGAGAGAGAGAGAGAGAGAGAGAGGGAACTAAGATATAGACAACACTTTCAGGGATCCGCTGTTGTTTTCACAGATTTTTTTACCTCAAATTCAAAGTAATTTTTATCGGTCTTCTGGGCTCCTTTAAACACCCAGAATCGGCATTTTCAGATTTTGCAAATGGCTCAATTTCTTGTATTTTTTGCTGTTTGCCAGGTCACCGAGATAAATATTTACATGCGGCGGAAGGAGAATTTGGGTGGCGTTGCATTTGGGCCATTTGGGCCCTAGCCATAGCCCTCTCCTCCTCCTCCTCCACGGCCTCCAAATCGCTTAGGCTAATTGTCGACGTGTCGATGTGTTTTTCTTCTTCTCCTTTGGATGTTGGCATGTCGATGGGTCCTTCCTGCCGAATGTCGCACAGGAGCGGGGCAAAAAGAGTCCCCATAAAAAGTTGCTACCCTCTGCCATCAGCTAGTTCCTCTTATGTATATTTCCCGGAGTTTAATCTTTATAACTTTTGCACCCAAGAAATATTTGTTTAAATTTCTCATTATTACTATTCCAATTTTTTTTCATACGTCACGTCGCGTTATGCTTGCGATACGTGACGATACTGTACGCTATCATACAAAGATAGACTACGCTATGAGGCACACCATCAGCTACAATACTTTACCGTACGAGACGTTAGGTTGCAGTACGCTAACTTACGCTACGCTACGAAAATGAACGCGATCTTAAAAAATAGAAATAGAATCTTACAAAACGCTATGGGGGAATTCCGTACGCTAGAATAATTTACCATACGGTATGCTACACCCCGTTGATACGCCGTACGGTACGCTATGATTTCGATACATTTCGAAACTGTACGCGATCTTAGGAAAGCATACGCTACTATACGCTAGAATACGCTACCATACGATATTTTGCAGTGCGTTGCGTTACCCAATATTACGATACGATGCATCAAATTACGGTATGATACGAAAAGCCATATCATGCAAAATGTTGGGCTACGTTAAGATACAAGTTTTACGATAAGTACGTTACGATAAGCTAGGGTACGAAACAATACCGTACGCTATGTTACACTACGCTACGCTACATAGCGTAAGCTACGGTACGCCGTTACACTAGAATGCCCTAATCCACGCTACGCTGCCATGTGGTACGTTAAGCGACGCTCCGATACCCTACGTTGTCATGCTTCGACGATACGGTACGCTCAATATGGTATCTACGCTACGATACGTTACGCAGTGTGCGTGTGCTCTACGCTACGATACCATCACCGATACCATCTTACGTTTTTCTCATATCTTTCTGCGTGCGTTTCCCCAAGGAATCTCCGCTCGCCCACCCAATCCAGACCATCGCTTTTGGCTGGGAATTCATTATTTTCAGTGCTCTTTCGTATTGTCGGTATACTTTCTCATTTCTCATCTATTCTTAGCGGGGGAGGGGAAAACACTTTGGCCTCCTCTGGGCCCAAGGAGGGACAAAAAGAAACATTCTCCAGGGCCCTTCACACGACAATCCGCCTCCCACTTTTTTAGGGGGCCCCCATTTTTCCCGGCTAATAAAGCGACATAAAATGTGGTATTATGAATTTTTAAAGATCTTAACCAGAAACTAACCTTTTTAGAATAGATTTTAGTTTGATTTAGATTTCTAAATTAAACTAAATCTTATTCTTCTATTTTTAACTAAAATCCTTAAAAAAATAAATTCAAAACTAGAATTTAATTTGAAAAGACAACGTATCGATGTTTTACATAAAATTTAACCTTTAAAAATTATTTCGTTACCTATTAGTTTTATTTAGTTTTTTTTTACATTTGTCGTTAATTTCTAAGTTGTATGCTACAAATTCTCACTCCAAATTTTCACTTCCGGCCTCCGTATCGGGCGCTAATCGTCGGAGCAGGGACCGCAAACTTGTCTGATTTCACCCCGGAATTCGGATTCCGGAAAATTCCGGCATTTCCGGTGTGGATCCGTAGGCGGAAGTGTGTATGTCTGGATCCCGAGTTAGAAGACATCTTCCAGTCCCCAAAATCCATTATGCAATCATTTTCCGTGAAGGCATAATTATACAGCATAAAGCCAAGGGGATGGCTTGAATAGATGCGGGGGCTTATTTAGGATCCTATCAACATTTTTGATGGTTTAAAGGGACCGGGAAGCCAGGAGCCTAAGGAGTTTTCGACGACCTTAAAATCCCGATAGACAAAATTTCCACCGGAAAGCTGGCAGTCAAAATCCCGACAGGCAAAATCCCGACAGGTCCCGACAGCGAGAATTCCGACAGAAAACCACGTCAGTCGAAACCCCGATATATTCTCGATGCTGGTTTGTCCTGCGACTTCCCTTTAAACAGCTAATTTGCATGCCGTGATTTTGCCTGTGGGTGTTTTGGTCTGTGGGTATTTTCGTTCGGATTTTGGTTGTCGGGATTTTAGCTTGTCGGCATTTTGACTGCCGGTATTTTGGCGCTTTCCCGTACCCGGACCCCTTCGTAGGCTTTGGCATCTAAGGTTTGGCGTATGCTTCGGCTTAGCTTTTGGGTTGGCTTAGGCTTCGGCTAAGCTTACCGAAGTTTCCGGAACTTACTGAAGGCCTTCCTCAACCTTCTCCACTAGCCTGTCGCCGAATTTTTGCAAAAAACGGCCAGCTGGCCATCGCTAATTCGAAAAACGGACTCCCCGCTCCTCTTCCGCCGGTGGCTGTCTGATGCCCCCCATTTCGGGGGGTGAAAAGCCGCGAAATCCGAGGAGGGCCCCCGGGCGTTTCCGGCTGGGTGGCCCTGATGTGGCACATCCACTTTAAGTGCAGCCCCCCATACCCAGAGTGGGGGGGGGGGCAAACCACTAAAATCGCCCGGTCTACAACGATTTAACAACAGACCTTTTGGGCTAGTTACCTTTTTCACTAGAAAAAAATCTAAATACCGTACTTGCTCGGCTCTCTCTGACTTGGCTCTCTGTCAAAAACTTTCCCTCTGAATTTCTCTCTCTCTCTCTCACTCTCTCTCTCTCTCTCTCTCTCTCTCTCTCTGTCTCACACTGCTGCTCGCCCTTTCTGTCACTAGCTGTTTCTCTTGCAATCACTCTCTCTCACTCCGGCTCGGTGTTGCTCACTGTCGCACTCGCTCTCATTCTCGCGCCCTCCCGATCTTTCTTTCACTCTAGCTCTCTGACTATGTTTCTGGCTTTCTCTCTCTGTTTGTCTCACTCTCTCTTTCGCTCTCTCACTGTTGCTTTTCTCACTCTCCCACTCTCTCTCACGCACTATCACTCTCTCACTCACTCTCTTGCACTTACTTACGCTTAAATGGACAGGAACATCTGGAAAGTTCCAAAATTTCCAAAATCCCCGCTGCAGGACGCCACCCCAAAACGGCGTCTCCATCATCAGAAGTCGGGGAGGAGCCCGAACTCCTCGGCTGAGAGGCCAAACCCAAAAAATCGGCTGGGGGGGCAAAAGGTGAACTCACGTGGAAGTGGGAGGCAGAGGGGCCCATTTTTGGTGCCCTCTCCGCCCCCCCCCCCCTTTTTTGCTGGTTGAGTGTATGGGCCCTTTTTTGTTTTCTTCTTCTGCTCTAGGTGAGGCCCTAGACTGCCCCCTTTCGTTGTTCATTCTTATGGCTCTCAGGTCGGAAGGGGGATGGGCAAAACACTGCTGAACTTTGCCTAATCATTACTATTACGTATTTGTCATTTGCCACGATTTTCGGTTCTTTTGCATGATACGTGCGAGGGGGACGATTCGGCATTATCGTATCCCCTTTTTCCAATAAGGATAAAGGTGGTCTACACTGTTTTTAATCATTACTAAGGGCAAAAACTACGCTAATTTTTGTACGAAAATACCAAAAATTGCAACTTTGCGACCAAAATTTTAAATTTTGCAAAGCTGTTTACCTAACTTTTACACCTCAAATAAAATGGCATTTTATAAAAAAAAACACTAGGAAAATATTTGATATTAAATTATGAGGCATTTCTGGAGACCCAAAAAAATGGGTTGCTAAGTCTGCTTAAGCCTAGGCCTAAGTCTAAGCCAAGCCTAAGCCAAGCCTAAGCTAAGCGTAAGTTACGCTCAACCTAAGCGTACGTCTAAGCCAAGCCTAAACTAAGCCTAAGCTAAACCTAAGCCATGCCTAAGCTAGGCCTAAGCCTAAGCCAAGCCTAAACCTGAGCTCAAGCCGAAGCCGAAGCCGAAGCTAAAGTCTAATTCTAAGCCTGAGCCGAAGCAAAAGCCCAAGTCTTAGCCTGAACCTAAGCTAACCAATTTGTCACTCAATTTTACTCAATTTTCCGTGCAGCTGCCTACAGGTCCAGGCGTAAATAGTCGCCCGTCTGCTTTGATAATTATTTTGGGGTGAGCTTGGCCGTGGTTTGGAACAGGGCCGCGTGTAGCCCGGGGCTATCGAAAAACCCGAATTCCGCAAATTTCCCCCGCTCATCCTGTGGCCCACAACTTCGGGCCTTCCCCCTCGATTTTATGGGGCCGTTCGGCGCGCCGGGCTCCACATTTGGGTCGAAATTGGCGGCGCGGGAGGGGAAGTTTTGGAGGTTTTTGGCTTTTAGATTTTTGCAGCTTTTCCTAAGGGGTATTTGCTAGTTTGCCCATTGGTAGCTTACCTCGCATTAATGGAAAGCAAGGATTCCTAAATGATCTTTGCTGGATAGCGTGATCTTCAGCCGTGATTTTCTGTGCTTTGACGGTAGTTGTATCTCGGCACGGATCCCTGCTAGTTCCCTGACTCTCTCGCTCTCTCGCTCTCTCTCTCTCGCTCTCTCGCTCACTCTCTCTCCTTCTCCCTGTTTCTGCCTCTCTTTTTCAATGCCAATTAACAACTTTACATACAAAAAGCAATTTAACACTTTTTTCGGCGATTTTCCCGGGTCTATCACGGCAGATCGAAGCGTGAAAATGTGCCAGCTCCTCGCCTCGGGTTACCAGTTGACGCTGGTGACCCCCGGAGCACGCGATTTTCACTGGGTGTAGGCGTAATGGGCAAAAAAACGGACTCATGAAGGCATGGGCCAAAATCAGCTGCCAGAAGATGCAAATATATCTATGCATTTCGTCACGAGGAATCCATTTCTTCATCCATTTTTTTTGCAATCGGCGCGAATAAGTGCAATTTCGATGACATGGAGCTCGGAGCCGATTTCTCGGCTTCTAGCTCCCAGCTCCTGGTCTTTTATGAGCCTCATTTTTAATTCCTTACATAAAGGTAGTTTTCAAAGCCATTTTTGAAGCGATACCGGGGCAAAATCCAACGTGCTGACACCCCAAAAACAACTTGCTCTCCGCACCTCTGGAAGGCACAATACAATGGATAGCCCCCAGGCAAATGGCCGGAAAGTGGCGTCGAAATGGGCCTCCTTAAAAACTGGCGCCCGTTTTTCGAGATAATCGTGTTTTTCCGGGGATTTTTGGGCTTGCGATTACGGTGGGTAGGGCCAGATTTATCTCTCTCATCGATGTACTTGTATCTTTTTGCTAATTTGCATATTACGCACTTTCGTAGTTAGGAATCTAGAGAAAACCGCCAAAAAATTAGAATTTTTCGGGTTTCCGATCTTTTCAAAATCATTTTGGCATTTCGACTGTAGGTTTTTGAAAATTTACATTTTGCCAATGCACTGCAATTAGCGATAGAGACAGACAGAGACAGAGAGAGTGAGTTAATGAGAGATAGATAAAGAGAGAGATAGTGAGAGAAAGAGAGCGAGAGTGCGAGAGTGAGCGAGAGAGAGTAATAGAGAGAGAGGGAGAGAGTGAGAGAAAGAGAGCGAGGGTGAGAGAGTGAGAGAGTCTACAAAAAATCCCCGGCTCCATCAATTTTAATAACCCCGACAAATTAGATTAACCCCCGCGGTTCTATTAGAATTTCTTAAACAAAGCCCGCGCGAAGTGCCCGCTGGGAATTTGGATTGTAGCCCTTTTTCGGGTTATTCCTATTCCGCGTTTCAGTTCTCTTTGCGTGACTAAGCATTTGGCCGCCAAAAATTAATTTAAGACCCTGGAAAAAATACTGTAAAATCAACCTATACGTTCCGAACCCTCTAAAAATCGGTTCCACACCACACCTAATGACGGATTTGTTTCCGGCCATGTTTTTTGGAGTCGGCCGGAACGAGGGATTGCGTGGAGGCTCCCATGGGGCATCTCAGCCGATGGGAACCTCGAAAATTCTTGGGAATTTTGAGTTTTGCTCCGGCGGTGAACAATTAGTGAATGGATGCTAGGTTTTGATGGTTTTACATCGCGATCTCTCTCTCTCTCTCTCTCTCTCTCTCTCTTTCCTATCTCTCTAAAAACCTCCACTTTATCCTCAATTTTCTCCACTAGCTCCTTATGCAAAAAACGAGGAAGTGGTCAGAAAACGCTATATTTTCCCCCGTTTTCTCGGAGCTTCACGGAGATCAGAAATTTCTGCAGGGATGCCGAGTGAATTGTCGCGACCCAGGGACCAACCGGAACACCTTTATCTCTTGCTCTCACTCTCTCTCTCTCTTCCATAGAGTCGGGCATGAATTGGATTTTGTGGTCTTTTCCGAAGATAAAACATCCCGAAATCTTTCGACTTTGCTGGTCGAAAAAATGGGGGCTTTCCTCAGGTCTCACGTAGATAGAGCGAGAGCGAGAGAGAGAGAGAGAGAGAGCAAGAGTGAAAACCCAATCCTCCAAAACGGAAATGACAATTTTCAAGCGAACTAGACGGATTTATAGGGCCCCCGAATTGACAGGCCAGCCGACAGAAAGAATTAGCGACTGATCCGCCTTTTCTTCTACTTCACCCCATTCTTTTGGTAACAAATCGACACACACTCACTCTCTCTCGCTCTTTCGCTCTCACACACTCTCTCTCACTCCCTCACACTCTCTCTCTTCCTCTCTCTCATTCTCTCTCCCTCTCTCTCTCTCTCTATCTCTCTCTCTCTCTCTTCCCCTGAGGCTGTATCGACTCCCGCGAAAAACTCGAACATTTAATCTGATGTACGACCAGGAGTCGCTTTTATTGTTAGCCGCCGATGCTTGATACGCCCCAGCGATTTGGCTGCAAAAAGTTGGCCACATGTTGGGGGGAACTAGCAGGGCGTATTTGGGAAAAGAAGATTTGCCAATGAGAGGACGACCATTAATGCATGCGTAGATGATCAACCTTTATTCAGATAACAAAGACTTTGTGGATTTTTAGACCTTTTTTAATTTTTTTATGGTTGTTTTGTGGAATAATTTACGATTAATCTTTAAAAATAGCCTTCATTCTAGCAGAGACTCTTTTGGAAAGGTGGCAGGGTTTTAAAGGTACGGACAAGGCGGATTTATACGGAACGCCGTAGGGAATCTAGAGCTCAGAAAATCGATGGAAATGCCTAGCTAGTCTCTTTAAGCGAAAAAAACTCTGCTATTGTCGAAACCGCGATACGCAACGCGTCAGTAGTCCGTATTTTTCAACCTCAAACTCATTAAGCAATGTAAGGGCGAGCTGGCGCGTTGCATGTCACGGTAGAATCCATAGAAATCTATAGCTGAAAAAACCTTAGTCTTGCCTTGCTCGTCCCTTTAATTCTCCAAAACGACCGGTCCACCCAATTCAAATCAGCGTCATTTCCCACTAATACTCCACGCCGTTGATGCGGTGTCAATGGGCGCTTGCCGTACTCAATCTATGTCACTAACCTCTCTCTCTCTCTCTCTCTCTCTCTCTCTCTTCAAAAGATTCATGGCCCCATCACCCATTCGAAAGGCCCCGGGCCAGGAGGGATTTATTCGATGGTCCGTGTTTTTTTGTTAGCCCATATCTTTTGAGGCGTGTGGTGTGTGTGGCTAGCGTATTTATGGTGATCGTCTAGAAGGGGGTTTGGGCCACATGGTTGGGCCCTCCTTGGCCCCTACGATGGCCCCGCCGTCATCTAGCCCCCCACCACTACCCTAGCCATCCATTCCGTTGCTAGCCAATCAGACACTCTCGTCGCGTTTGCTTTTGGAAGGAAGATAGACGGACAGACAGACAGACATACAAATAGACCTTCGAATTCTTGACCCCCCGACAAGAGAAAAGCTCCGAATAATTTTGTACGCATTTAGTTTCCGTTTTTTGAGTCTATGCTAATTGTTTAAGTCTTCGTCAAGTTCCCAACTTTTTATGATGAGACCAGCGGGGGAGGAGCCTATACGCGACTCTCCCCCGCTGGACCCCGTCTAGGCCCTATGAATCGAGCGCCCTTCCACATAAAGTTCCCCTGAAGAAAGAAAAACGCATCTCTCATGCAAACCTCTTTGTATTGACATGTGGCGCAAGCTTAAATTGCTAGTGTCGTTATTAGGCCTGCGGCGCATGCTTAATCGGCCAGGTCCTTATCCAGCGCCCCGAGCTTGAGCGGTTTGCTTCGAGATAAAGCCTGCGGCGCAAGTTTGCGCGGTTACCTCCTTCTTTAGCCTGCGGCACTAGCTTGAGCGGCTAGCTTCATTCTAAAGCCTGCGGCGCTAGCTTGTGCGGCTAGCTGCGTTCTAAAGCCTGCGGCGCTAGCTTGCGCGGCTAGCTTCGTTCTAAAGCCTGCGGCACTGGCTTGCGCGGCTAGCTTCGTTCTAAAGCCTGCGGCGCTGGCTTGAGAGGGTGCTACATTCTATAGGCTGCGGCGCCGTTTTGAGTGACTAACTTCATAATAACGTCCCTACACGGAAATCCACTCCGAAACGCACTTTCCGAGCAAAAAGCAAAACGACTACGATATCCGAGTATCGAACCTCCGATGGTTAGAATAACCCGGCTAAGCGCTAACCACTACACCATGCAATGCTTGGCAGCACGCGCCAAAAACCCCTTTTGGGGACTGCCCGAGGCAGGGGAAGGAAAGGAATCGAGAGGCAGATCCAAAGAGACGACCAAACTCGCGAGTGCAACTGGCAAGAATGAGAAAATTTGTATTTTTTCACCTTATGCAAATTAGCCCTCCCGGTGCCCCAAAAATCAATAAAACTGGCTTTAACTTTGTAAACTTGTATTTTATCGGGATTCTGAAAACGCCATCGGAAAGAGGAGGGTCGATTCCTCCGGGTGACGGAGAATTAGGGCATTTTGGACACGGGAAGGCCCTCAAATCGGGCCTCGAAAGTGACATCCGCACACACACACAGACAAAGATACGCGACCAAATTATATAAGGTAGGATCTAGACATCCTAAAGGTATTGGCAAGCAATATCGACATTTTTCAGGATCCAGAAAATCCCCCGAGGCTGTGGGACCGATTTTTGACATTTTAAAGGCACTAGGAAGGCCGCGCTCAGCTCCAGTTTTTGTTTCCTATTTTTCGCCATAGCGTTTACTAGGATTCCTCAAAAATCTCTGCTAGCATGCTGTAAATTCCGTCAAAAAGAAAGTAATTCCTCGTTTTATGATAGTTTTATTTTTAAAATTTAAATAAATCTTGAGGGCGTCGGGCGTTTCCGGGGGATTTAGAGAGGATGGGTGGGGCCCCCGTATTTCCTGTTTTTTTCGGTGCTGGGCCCTATTTGGGGGCCCAACGAGGGCCCATATCCGCCATTCTAAAATGCGAACTTCGTGTCCAAAGCTTTTTCAGCGTTTCCTCTTTTTTATGCAAGTTTTAACGACGCTCGTTTTCATAAGTTTTCTGTAAATTTTTATCGTTTTTAAAGATCAGTTCCTACTATATTTTTCGAATTTAAATTACATTTAATTTGCTTATTTTTAGCGTTGCAGCCACCCGAAACGGCGCGACGGGGCGCCGATGCCAATGTGGCCAGCCGGGGCCCCGCCACTGCTGCTGCTGCCGTCCCCTAAAACGCGCCCCTCGTCCACCGTAGTCCAGCTGATACTGTTGTGCCTATTACGGTATACAGATGCCACCGCACCGCGACAGGTACGGTGTAAAATTTTAAAGATTCTGTGTTTTTCGTTCTTCAAAGGTACGGTAAATAGCCGATAGGGGATTCCAGCCATAATCCCGACACTCAAAATGCCGACAGCTATAATGCCGCCAGCTAAAATCCCGACAACCAAAATACCGACACCAAAAATCCCGATACCAAAATCTCACCAGAGAGGATACCGACAACCAAAATCCCGACAAAATATCGACGGCCAAGAGCAAGTCCTCTAAAAAACCCGGCACATAAAATCCCGAGATATTTTTGGTTGCCTTTGCTTGTCGGGATTTTCACTGACCAGGTTTCGCCTCTGGGTTTTTGCCGTTCCAGCCGGCGGAGTAATCAGTTTTATGGAGCGGCAATTTTCCACCTTACTTGTTCCTTTAATCCGCAGGAATCTCGGCTAGATGCCATGTACGTCAACAGTAAATTTCCGGAAACTAGCATAACGCTGCGTAGTACGTCTATAGTCCACTTAAGGAAGGTTCAAAAAATAGTTATTTCTATTTTATACCCCAAATCCCTTCAAGACCATCCGCAAGAATCTCTGCTAGCCTGCCCTTTATCGATTCTCCTAATTTCCAGGTGGTCATCCCGGGCCAAATCGTTCTCGGCGGCCTCTTTCCGATCCATGCAGCTGGCAACGGGACGGCCTGTGGGCCGATTAAGGTACGGCATACCAAAAGCGTAGTTTGTACGGTACTGTACTGTCTTGTAAAACTCCAGACGGTAGATACGCTGGTTTTCAGGCCGAGCAGGGATTGCAGCGGATGGTGGCCATGTTGTTTGCGGTCGAGGATATTAACCGGAGACGTGAAATTTTGCCGGCAGCGTCGATTGGAGCGCAGATTCTCGATACTTGGTGAGTTCTTTTCAAGGAACGTGCAAGACTTGTCTATGGATTTTCGGATTGTTTTTATTTTTCTCACGCTCTCTCTCTCTTTCTCTCTCTCTCTCTCTCTCTCTCTCTCTCTCTCTCTCCCTTATTCTCTCGTTCTCTCTCTTTCTGCTTTTACGATCGCATCTTTTTTGTCAATCCAATTCCGTCGAGTGTTGCAAGACGACGGGGCCTATCTGCGTTCGCGATAACTCGTCAGGGTCCTCAGTTTCAAATTCGCAAAGAGAGGGCTCCTTCCTTCGCCTTGGTAACCGTATTATGTGCATTAGGGGGCCTTCCCCTCCTTCGGGTCCTCTTTTTACCCCCACCCAAAAACGACCGCCAATAGCCCGGGGGGCTATACTTGGAATTGGGTGGGCTGAGGGTTGCCATTAGTGCGGTGAGGGAGAGTAGGATCTAGCTCAGGTTTGGGTTAGGTTTAGGATGGCTAAGGCTTAGGCTTAGGCTTAGGTTAGGCTTAGGTGAAACTTAGCCTTGGCTTAGGCTTAGGTTAAGCTTAGGTTAAGCTTAGCCGTGGCTTAGGCTTAGGCTCCGGCCGTCATAAACCAAAATTGCCTTTATCGTCCTTTTAACGCGATTCCGCATTGATGAATCTATTTTTGCATACTGGCTTCTTTGGTGTGTAGCTGCTTGTTCCCGCTTCTGACCTCAGCCCCGCGCGCCACTTCCTGAGTTTTCGGGGCCTCCTGCGAAAGTCGGCCGCTTCGACTCAATGCTCGACTAATTGGCCAAAATGGGCAAGAGTGAGAGAGAGAGAGAGAGAGAGAGAGAGAGAGAGAGAAAGAGAGAGAGCGAGAGAGATGGAGAAAGAGGGAGAAATCCGGGAATTGTGTGAAAACAGCTTGCAGCCGGGCCCTACTACTCGAATCCTATTTACATTACATGAAAAAGGCCTGAAAGTGGGGGAGGGAGCTTCTAGAATTTGAGCATTAATAGTAAGGGAAAACCTGCAGGCATACTAGCAGAGATTCTTGGGGAAAATTAGCATACCTTGCCGCCCGAGAGCAAGCTAGCCGAGATCCTGTCGGATGCGTTCTGGAACTTTTTTGGATGATATAGGACTTTTTCCGGGGCTTTTAATGGAGGGGAAGTCGGGTTTTTGGAGAGTCAGGTGATTCTCATCGAGGCGGAAGGGGGGTTCGACGACAAGGTAGAGGACGTCGAAAAAAGTGCAAGGGCTAAAAACGGGATTTTCCAGGAAATGAAAGGGCACTCACCGGGTGGCAGAGGGAATTTGACGGCTCAGAAAAAAGCCAGCGGTTTGCGAAATCCTATTTTTGCAATGACGTAAAGGAGCACTTTTTAGCAAAGAAAAATTTGGAAAACCTTGAAATCAGGTCTGCAGGTCATAATCAAAGTGGAAATTGAAAAACTAACAAAAAATTGAATTATTATTTGTATTGACAGATCCTTAAAAAAATCGATGAAAGGGTAATAGAATTAAGTAGATAATATTAAACCACAAAAATGACAAATTTTCCTTTACAGTTCCGTGGACAGCTACGCACTGGAGCAGACGCTCGAGTTCATCCGTGGCGCCATGTCACATGGGAGTGGCGTCGAATGTCAGGACGGATCGCTGGTACTGTTTTTTCCAAGATTTTATTTGAAATTATTTATGTTTATAATATATAAGTTTTAATCATATAAAATTATTTTTTTCTATTCCTGTTACGTTCCAAAAAATTTAGGGGAGGCTAGCAAAGTTAATTTGAGAAATGTTTTAAGTAGAGAGACATTTTTCGTAAAAAAATTGAATTAGTATGGTCCTAACTTTCCTTTAAAAACCGATAACCCTACAAGTTAAATATTTTGAATTTCAGGCCACCTACAAGAAGCAGGCCGTCGTGGCGGTGATCGGACCGGCGAGTAGCCAGGTGTCGGTGATGGTCGCTTCTATGTTGCAGTTGTTCAAGGTATCACTCGCTCGTGCTTCTATCGCCTTCTCTCGTGCTCTGTATCTATCTCTCACTATCTCTCTCTATCGCTCACTATCTCTCTCTATCTCTCACTATCTCTCTCGTGCGCTCTCTCTCTCGTGCGCTCTCTCTCTCGCATTCTCTCTCTCTCTCTCTCTCTCTCTCTCTCGCTCCCTCATCCCCTCCAATTCCAGATCCCTCAAGTCAGCTATTCTTCCACCGGCGCTGAACTCTCCGAAAAATCTCGATTCCCCTACTTCTCCCGCGTAGTCCCTCCTGACAATCTGCAAGCAAAAGTGATGGCATGGGTGGTAAGCTTCCGGTCTCTGAGCCGACAATACCACTTTTCTAGATCAAAGAACTCGAATGGACTTATGTACACGCGATTGCGGACACTGGATCCTACGGCGAACGGGGCATGGATTCGTTTAGGTGAGGAATATTGAGGGCAACATAGCAGAGACCTTTTGCCGAATTTCGGGCGAACAAACAGCGGTTATTTGATAAAGTTTTCGAGGCAAGCTAGCGGAGATCATTGAGGAATCGTGTAGGACAAACTGATCGAAGATATTACTGATTTTTGCGGGCAGGCTAGCAGAAATTTTTGGGACAGGGCAGATTAGCAGCGATTTCTGAGGAAATCTAACCGCGGTTAGCGTAGATTATTGGAGCATATAAGGCAAGCTAGCAGCGATCTTTGGAGAATTTTTGCATGTAAACTAGCAGCATTGAGGAATTCTGTCGGGCAGGCTAGCAGGGTTCATTTGCCAATTTTTCAGAGCAGCCGCCACCGAACTCGGCGTTTGCATCGACGGCGACGTGCACAAAATTGGACGCGGGTGGACGAGTAAGAATTTCAAGTATGTTACGCTCCGGTTTACGGTGGCAGTGTCACAATTTAGGGAGTTGATCTGGCGGATGTACCGTACCCGAAAAGCTCGAGGGGTCGTCTTTTTTGTCGATGAGGACAATTTGAAGGTGGGGAAATAGCTATTTATTTATGTAAATTACACCAATTCTTGGATCCCGTGCTCCTCGAGGAATTTCCTAAAAAAAAATGGAAAATTAAAAAATTTGGTTTTCGCGTACCAATTTTTGCGTGAAATTGCGTAGTGTAGCGTGGGTCTGGGGAATCCGTTGAACGTCGTGCATAGGCCATTGGTGTAGGCGCCCATATCGGGGTACAGGACCCAGTCACCCTCCGCCATACGCTCCTTTTCGATGGCTTCCTGGAAATTGGGGGGCTGAAAGGGATTAGGCAGGGGAAAATCCTCGAATAGCGCTGCTAGCTTACCTTGAGGATGCTTGTAGGAAATTCCCAAACAACCACTGCTGCTACCCTATGGAATTCTTAAATTAGCTTTGCTAGCCTGTCGCGATATATCTCAAATTATCAATGCCTTGAATGCCTGCCTTGAATAAATCTAAAATGATTACTGCTAGCTACTCTGCAGAATTCCCAAATAGTCAATGCTAGCCTGCCCTGGCAAAATGCCAAATGATCACTGCTAGCTTGCCCTGCAGAATCTCCAAATGATTCCCGAAACCCAAAACTCGCCCTCCTGCCTTCCCCCAAAAGCCGAAAGCCCGCTGCTGTTTACCCCTCCCAATTTTCCAATAATCACGGCTATCTTGCCTTGCAAAAATTCCCTAAGAATCACTGCTAGCCTACCCCAGCGCCATCTACTTTTTCCGAGTTTTACCTCAACAACATCAACGCTAGCGCACGTCGGTCCCCACACAATGGAAGTCAGCCTCTCGGCGCTCGGATTTGGCTTAAATTAATCATTTTTGCTAAAATTCCACAACAATACCCTCAACGGGAATCCCTCGACGTAGATCTTCTCGGTTGCCGCCAGCATAAAGGACCCGTAGATTCCATCGTTTAGGAAATACATCATTCCCCTTTGATTTGAATCCAGCTCTAAATTATGAGGAGCTACAAAACCTAAGCGTAGCCAAGCCTAAGCCTAAGCATAAGCCTAACCTAAGCCTATGCCAGAGCTTGCCCACCATTTTTCGTTATCCGATCCGCCGGCACCTCGACAGCATTGATGATTTTTGTGCATAGGGTGAAGGAGCCTTCGCAGAAAAACCGAAAAAGTCCAAATTTTACCTCTCTCTACCTCGCTCTCTCGTTCTCTCTCTTTCGCTCTCTCTCACCCTCGCATTCTCTCTTGCAAGTAAGACTTACTGCCCGGGCTCAGAAATCATCTCCACACCCTCGACGTCGCCAAAATGGGTATCAATAGCTGCATTGATGACGGCGGCGATCTGGAAGATAATCAGATATCGAGAGCAGAGAGCGAGAGAGAGAGAGAGTCTCCAGATCCTATACCTTCTCAAACTGCGGGTTATCCACCTCGCGGCCCGGATATCCGCCTCCAATGTCCAAAATTCGCATCCGGTGCCCCAACCGGGTACCGTAGTCGAACAGTTGTCGCGCGTAGCGGATGGCCGTCTCGTAGATTGGCGCGTCTTTGCACCCGACTCCCACGTGGAAGCTGGAAACGACAGCTTACTACGATGTTTTTCAAGTAACCCCGTGCTCAAGAAAAACTTACCTAATGCCGACAACTTTCATTCCAATCTGCTTGGCCTCCTCCAGCAATTCCCGGGCCACCGTCTCGGGCTCAGCCCCGAATTTGCGGCCAAAAACCGAGCTGGCTGTAGGATCGGAGACCAGGATTCGAAGGACCAGCCTAAAAGGGACCGGATTCATCGAAAAATTTGCTCGACTCCGCGGCACGCAAAGCGTATGCGCTGCATGGGCGGTGCGCGTTGCGTGTCGCGGTTTTGGCCAAATCCATAAAGCTCTACTAGCCATAAAATCCATAGTCAGGACCTCGCCCAGCCCTTTAAAAGACGCTCTTTGTCTCTTACTCTGCCTCCTCAAATTCCTCCTTGATTTTGCGCAACTCCTCCACCGAATCGAACGTCATCTTGTGGACGCGCTTCGTTTTAGCGTACTGTAAATTGTCATTTTGTCTATTTGCTTCATTATTTTTGAAAAAATCGACAATTTTGCCTTCCCAGTTCCTTTAAAAGCTTTACAAAATTTTTTAAAACAAACTTGGATAAATGTGCGGTGTTTGCTCGGATTTGCATAAATTATACAAGCCGGCTCCACCTGCAGGTCCAAGATCTAAAAAAAACCGCTTAGCTAGATTTTTACAAAAATCCTAACGGTCTGTATTTCCCGGAGACTGGCACAATCGAACCCGCAGCCCAGGCTGGACAGCGCGCGAATAACCATCGGATCCGGGTGGCATTTCACGGCGAAAAAGGGCTAAATGCTCTGGAGTCGATAAGATGTCCCGAGTACCGTAATCCTCGGCATTTTTGTCTGCCACAGTTTGAGGCGGTGGATGACGTTGTCGAGGCTGCAGAGTAGTGCACCCTCATCCGACATCTATAGGCGCAACATTTGTAAAAAATCTGAAGAAGTAAAAGGTAGCATACTGTAGCTACGGTATTAAACCACAGTATAATTGTAATAAATAGAAAATTGTTAATTAGCAATACGCAAAACTTTATCTTAGTTTTAAAGAATTCTGTTCCACTCGCAAAGAGTAGCTTTTTCCGTATAGATACGGTACCAAAACACGGTATATTTTCATAGAGAAGAATTTCGAACAATTTTTTGCCGACGATTTTAAAGGCTGTAAAATTTCGATTTTGGCATCTAGCCAACTGCCAAACAGATGCCATTTTTGTCTTCCCAGTGCCTTTAAACAGTTTATGACCATTTTTCAGCAGGAAATACAATGTACCTTATAAATACCGTACCTCTGCGTCAAGCTCGTCTGCAATTTGTTCTACCACCGTTCTTTGATCCATAATTTGATCGTAGAGACGAATCTAGAAATAAATATTAAAATGCGACAGCCCCTGTAAAATACTGCTGTAACTTTTAAAACTGACCTTCCATTGCCCGAATTTTAGAATTTCCTGCGCCATTTTTAGTTCGTAGGCTAGGGGGAGGATTTTGGGGAACTAACGCCGAAAATGATTCACCCCCAGGAGGCCAACATGGGAGAGTGATAAGCCGGCACAAAGCCTTTTGTATGTATTCGAGGCGGAGGGGGTGTTCGCAGGCTCAAAAATGGAACGTGAGGGGAGGAGGGCAAAAATGGTTAGGCTTCTTTCGCTTAGGTTTAGGCTTAGGCTCAGGCTTAGGCTTGGGCTTAGGCTTGGGCTTAGGCTTAGGCTTAGGCTTAGGCCTAGGCTTAGGCTTAGGCTTAGGCTTAGACTTGGGCTTTGGCTTGGGCTTAGGCTTAGGCTTGGGCTTAGGCTTAGGCTTGGGCTTAGGCTTAGGCTTAGGCTTAGGCTTAGGCTTAATCAACGTGACAACACAAAACAATGTGAATTTCAGAAACTGCTGAAAAATCTCGACTACATGATCATGATTGAGGGACATCGAGAGTTGGACAAGTATTTTTGGTAGGTGAGAGAGAGAGAGAGAGAGAGAGAGAGAGAGAGAGAGAAAGTTAGCAGACAGAGAGGGGAATGACAGAGAAGAGAGGAGAGAGAGAGAACGAGAGTCCGAGCGGAGAGAGAGAGAAAGATAGAGAGAGCGAAAGAGAGAGAGAGTGAGGGAAATCGAGAAATCGAAATCGAGAAAAACGGCTAAAAACTACAGAACATTTCCAGGTTCGTCGCTTCGGACTCGTGGGGCGTGAAAAGCTCGGTGGTGCAGGGGATGGCGCATCGGACGGCCGGGTCGCTAACTATCGCACCGCATGTACGGAATGTGACTGGTAAGCTATCTCTCTCTCTCTCTCTCTCTCTCTCTCTCTCTCTGTCTCTCTCTCTCTACTCTCTCTCGCTCTCTCTCTATCTGCCTTCCTCTCTCTCTCTCTCCTATCTCTCTGCCTTCTCTATCTCGCTCTCTCCTCTCTCTCTCTCATCTGCTATCCTAGCTAACCACTCCATTTTCAGGCTTCAACGAGTACTTCCTCCGCGCCGGCCCCTCTAACACGTTCCTGGAGGAATATTGGCGTCATCTGAACTGCACCGAGTTCCCGTCCGTCCAGAACTTTGGCCAATGCTTTGCCGCCATCAACATGACCTTCAAGCAGGAGGCTTTCGTCCCCTTTGTCGTGGATGCGGTCAAGACTGTCGCACATGCCATCAATACGTACATTAAGGTCAGTTGGGAAGTTTAATACGGGTTTTTTGGCAGTTTTCTGGCCGTGTAATTTACCTTGGGTAATTGATTACGCAAGGGAAGAATACCTCTAAATGCTAATGGTTCCAGAAAAGCTGTGATCTGGTCGCTTTTCACAAATGTTCGTTGTCAACTAGCGGATTTAATGGAACCGAGCTGCAACGACATTACCGGAATATCAGCTTTACGCGTGGGTTTAGCAGCTTGACTCACTTTCTCGCTCTCTCTCTCTTTCGCTCTCTCTCTCTCTCTCTCGCTCTCTCTCTCTCTCTTTCTCTCGTAATCACAGCTTTTTTTAGCCTTCGAACCAGCCATCATCGACGAGAAGGGCGACGGAATTGGACGTTATGACATCTTTCAAGTCGACGAATTCGGAGCGTACGTGAAGGTGAGAGAGAGAGGGGGAGAGAGAGCGGACGGGGAAGGGAGGAGGGGGGAGAGAGAGAGAGAGAGAGAGAGAGAGAGGGAGAGAGAGAGAGAGAGGAATAGAGACCAAATCTGCCTTCCCAGGTCGGCAAATGGCGATCAACGGAAGGGCTTCGCGTAGAGGTGGAGAAGATCCGCACCGGCTTCCGCAGCGATGTCCTCCCGATTTCTGTCTGTTCCCAGGATTGTGGCCGGGGTCAATACCGTGTCTACCAAGATCAGACATGCTGTTGGGCATGTGTCCCCTGCGATCCGACCACGTCTATTGTCATCAATGTTACGATGTAAGTCACGAAGCTTGTTAGGCTTGGGCTTGGGCTTGGGCTTAGGCTTAGCTAAGGCTTAGGCTTAGGTCTACCCCCTCGCGGAGGATCAGGATATCAGGATCCAATGTTTTTTATAGCATTTGGAAGCTTTGGAAAAGGCAGATCAAACGGTTGGTTTAGATTTGTAGATTTTTGCTGTTTTTATCATATTCTTAAATATTTACAAACACCTATTTAAATTGCTAACATTTTCAAAACTAAATGCACCGTTTTGCTCGCCTTTTCATGAGCTTTGAAATGGGATAAAATCATTTGAATCCGATACATTCCACGCCACGAGCGGAGGTGGCTTAGGCTTAGGCTTAGGCTTATACTTAGTTTATGCTTAAGCATAGGTCTAGGCTTGGCTTAGGCTCAAACGGCCCAAAATTCTGGATCCAGTCCACCTGTACATTCTCCTTTTCAATTTCCCCCATATTCAGTTTCAATTCGACGGGTTTCAGCTGTACGGAATGTCCACTTGGCCAGGTGCCAAATCAGCAGCTAACAGCCTGTCGACCCATCCCACCAGTTTCTCTAAAATGGGACTCGCTCTGGGCCATTCTACCGGCTGCATTCGGGGCTCTCGGGCTGACTGCGACGATTTTTGTCGTTTCGGTGTTTTTGAAGTTCAGCAATACACCTGTGGTGAGTGAGAGAGATAGATAGGGAAAGTGAGGAAGAGAGAGAGAGAGAGAGAGAGAGAGATACATCGATAAAGCGAGAGAAATATCGATAAAACAAGGAGAGAGAGAGAGAGAGAGAGAGAGAGAGAAAAAGAGAGAGCGGTAGAGTGAAAGAATTTCCCCACATGCTTCCAGATTATGGCCTCCGGACGCGAATTGTGCTACTGTATGCTGACGGGAATTGGTCTATGCTATATTCTGACCTTCTTCCTCGTCTCCCAGGTAGTTTCATGAGTTCAAGGCCCACCTATCATTTTTAGCCGTCGGCAGCCGCATGCGCCACTTCACGAGTGTTGATCGGGCTGTCAATGTCTGCCATCTACGCCGCCATCATCACCAAGACGAATCGATTGACTAGGGTGTTTTCGCCCGCATCTGCGCAGAGGCCACGTTTCATCACTCCAAAGGCGCAGGTGGGTGAAGCTTAGGCTTAGGCTTCGAGCGCCACGACCGATCACCTGGGCTAAAATAAATTATGATAACAGGTTGGCATCTGCCTATGCATCGTCTCGGTGCAGCTGGTCGGCTCTCTGATTTGGCTCATAATGGATCCACCCGGGACCACGATTATTTATCCATCGCGGACGGAGGCTGTACTCACTTGCAAGGTATTTTGAAAAAAGAGAGAGAGAGGGAGAGAGAGGAAGAGAACGAGAGAGACAGAGAGAGAGAGAGAGAGAAAAACAGTGAGATAATTCCCGTCCCCCTTCCAGGCAACCGCTACCCATCTCCTCGTCTCCCTCGCCTACAACCTCCTCCTCATCGTCGCGTGCACCATCTACGCCTTCAAGGCCCGCAAAATCCCGGAGAATTTCAACGAGACGCGCCTCATCGGCTTCACCATGTACAGCACCAGCATTTTGTGGCTGTCATTTGGTAGGAAATAGACGAATTTTTTAGACAAAATTTGCATTTTTAGCGCCCATCTACTTTGCGACGCAGAACAACTTTCGGGTGGGTTTTTGCGCGAGGTTTTCAAGCTGGTTTTTCCAGATTCAAATCACGTCGCTTTGTATGTGTATATCGATGTCGGGCACCGTCGCGTTGGCCTGTTTTTTTGCGCCTAAGGTAAGGAAGGTTAAGAAATAGAGATAGAAAGACAGAGAGAGAGAGAGAGAGAGAGAGAGAGAGCGTGGCATTGCTATTCCACTGTCGTTCATAGGTGTACATCGTCCTCTTCCAACCCTACAAAAATGTGCGCACACGGCATTCGGCCGTCGGTCGACTCGTCAACCAACAAATGCGATTTATTAGGTACAAAAAACTTCTAGACGACTTGAGAAAATGTTTACCATTTTTGAAATACCTAAAATAAGTTCGGCTTGAAAATGTTTATTTTTCGATTTATAAAAATTCAAAAACAAGCCAAATTGAAAAGTTTGTCATTTTTAGACAAGTTTTCGCAAACTAAATCTTGCTTTTTATGCAGGAAATCTATAAATTTTGGAAATTCTAAATTTGTCAAAACTTGAAATTGTTCCCGAATTAAATTATCTGAATGTAATTTGTATGTTAAACTTAAGATCTTTTAAAATATTGCTTGTTCTACAACCTAATTTTTGGATTTAAAGCAGCCCAAAGCCAGCCCGCGAAAAGCGGGCCCATTTCGGTTCGTGCCCCAAATTATCCGAATTTTTCTGGAAAATTTTATTTTTTTAATTTTTAAGTAATTTTTGAATGTTGCTGAACGTTTTAATGTTCTTTGAACGTCTTGAATGCGTCCCCCCGATTGCAGCCAAATGACGACGCACGTGCAGGATGGGAAACCCGTACCCTCGAATGCATCATCCAAAGCCCCAATCACCCTCTCCACCTCTTATCGACCACCCGATTGTAAGCATGCTGATCAGCATTTTTTTTTTTGATTTTTACATAGAAATTTTGAATAAGAAAAGTTGTTGAGGAAAAAGCAAAAAGTTTGGCGCTGGGAGGGGCCGAACCCGTGGCGTTAGCCTGGTAAGAGCGAGCCTAACCAATCGGCCATTAGTCATTTGTCATTTTTGTCTACGATACAGAGAAGTTTTCGGATTAATTTTTGAGACGCTAGATTCAAATTTTGTCAAAAATTCGGGGCTTAACTTCTGTGAATTTCGAAATGAAAAATGCCGAATTTCAAAAGGCCGAAATTTCATAACGCCGACATTAAGCTTGTCGAAGTTTCATAAAGCCGAAATTTAATCGCTTCGAAATATCATAGAATCGAAATTGTTTAACGGCGACATTTTGATAATGATGAGATCTTGAAGGCGTCCAAATGTAATACTGTCGAAAAATTTTCGAAAATTGTCCAAGAATGTCGAAAATTCAAATTTTTGAAATTTTTGTTTCCCAATTCAAGATGTCAGAATTTTTGTGTCGAAATCCTAAAATGCCGAAATTTCATGATACCGAAATTCCTTTGTCAAAATTTGAAAATTTTTTCGACATTTTCAAAATAAAATGTCGACAAAGTGAAGTCTCCATAAACTCACATTTGACAGAAATTCACTTTTTGCATCACTTTGCTCGACTCCTAGCACGATCCCTTTAATATCCGGAATTCCGACAAGCTTCAACCAGTTTTTACAGCTGAAGAGAGCTCCTCACACAGCCTGTTACGCTCACAGCATTTGCGAGCCTCTTCGGTGGAGGGGTTGCACAAGCGGCGCACCATTTCAGCGTCAGGTACGGTAGCTGAGAGCCGTGTGATATTTTTCCATACCCTACCGTATTTTACCGTAAGCTACCTCGTTTTTAGGCCATCATCCAACAGCCGAAGAGCTGCGAAAAGCCAATGGCGGCGAGCGGAGATTTAGCAAATCTGTGCGCGTCACCAAGGAGGGCATGGAACGGTTGCGGCAGAGCATGAGATTTGGGTGAGTTTCGAGGAATTTATTTTGGAAGAGGTTGGTCATATTCGCACATTAATGGTAGTCAAGAAAGGCACTAGGAGAAGACCACAAGTTCAAGCAGTTCAGCGTTGCTTTTATTGGCCCTAAACTCAAAACTCAGACTTAATCAAGCTTTTCTTAGGCCAAGGCTGAAGCTCAGGCATATACCTTTTCGAGGTCCAACAAGTTCAAGCAGTTCATCTTTGCTTAAAAATTTGGCCGACAAAACGTTAGGCCGCAATGAAAATTCTTGGTTCTGGTTCATTAGCGGGGGAGGGTGTATCGAGCAGCAGGGGGACGCGGCCCCCCCCCCCTCCCCCCCGTTAACGCACAAAGCCAAATTTGACGATTTTGGCGCCACAAGTTCAAGCAGTTCAGTCCCATTTATATTCTGTCCTTTCAGAAAAAAGAAGGAGCCAAAGCAGCCGGTCAAAGAGGAAAAGGACCCACTCCCAACCACGAAGGTATGCTAAATTTTACAAAATCAAGTCGACCCTCATAAAGCTCTCCCAGACCTCACTTTGAGCCCGAACGGGTAAGGAAAAATGGAAAACACTCAAAATTAGAATCCCCTCAGTGTGTGCACGCCTAGAAAAGGGTTGATTGGTCCCCGCCATGTCTTCCCGGTCCCTTTAAACTTCAAAATCCCGAAATTTACGATGATTTTAGGTGCCGCCAGCCATGGCCGGGTCAAAGTCTTTCACGAGTCGCGCCGAGCTGCGCGGCCCCTCGCCCTTGACGCAGAAGAGGGTGGGTTTTTGTTTTTGCGATTTTTGCGATTTTTGATAATTTTGGCAGAATTAATATAATTTTTCAGTCCCTACAGGAATGCCGTGCGGGTCCGGCCCCTTCCGAGGATTCGGTGGGTGAACGAGTAACGTCATCTCGTGAGATCACCTCATCCCCCTCATCGCAGCTCGAGCTGCTCCTCGAGGAAATTGCCGCCAGCACCCATTCCACATTTTTGTAGTCTGTATTGGCAATGGCGGAATGCCGACAGATGGGCAAAATCCCGACAGCTAAATTGACATCGAAAATCCCGAACCGACAAATTTTGGTCGCCAAGCTACCGATATAAAATACCGACAAGAGAAAATCCCGACAAAACACACTTTCGAAAAAATTCGGGATTTTCCCTGTCGGTATGTCGACTGTCGGCTTTTCGGCACATCAGGATTCGGAATGTCGGCATTATTCCCGGAATCCGCTGATACGCTAACTATTTTTGATTTTCTCGTTATATTTGTAATTCCCCGCAATATATACTGATCGTCTCGCCGATATCGGGTACTGTAAATGTCATTTGGTGCCCCGCGTTGGTTGTCATTATGATCTTTTCTGTCCCACTTTCCTTTTTTGCTCATTAGACGAGATTCCTATATCAATTTCTCCGTTCGCAAATTTTGAAAATTCAATTCCGAGCTTGCCCCATTGAGAACCGGTGCCGCAGTTATTAAAGGGAACGGGAAGTGGGGGGATTGGCCTGTCTAGACCTAGTGAAAATTAGGGGTTTATTCCAGCGTTCTTAGGCTTCTGAAAGGGCCTGGAACGTGAAAAATCGATCTGTCTAGACCTAGTCGGCATAGAGGGTCGATTCACGCGCTTCACAGTCCCTTAGAGGCTCTGTGAAGCGCGATAGTCCACTTGTCTAGATCTAGGCGAAAGCAGGGGCGATTCTTCGGTTCCAGGACCTTTAAAGCAGCAGAATCCATCCGTCTAGACCTAGTCGACTTGCAGGGTTAATTCAAGTGATTCCAACCCCTTAAAGGAGCTTGAAAGAGAAAATCAACCTTTTTGGCCGACTGCGTCTTGACACAGACGGAACAACAAATTAAGCTAAAATTATCAGCTTTTTTCGTAAAAATTACATTCCTGAATAAGTTCCACGCCTGGCATATCTGTCTAGACCTAGTCGTGATAAGGCGTCGATTTTCCCCACTTCACGGCCCCTTTAAAATGTCCACTTTTTTTCTCCAGAAAGATAATCATCGCAATGAGTACGGGTCTGTCTGTTTTCTTCTCCTCGATTCGCCAGCTTTGGAATTTTTCTTGCTTCGATTTTTGTCTCTCCATTTTCCCTGGTCTCTCTACAATTTCGGTGCACTTTTTGAGGATTGACGCGTGTGTTTTTGTAATAAAATTTTCTTAATTGTTTACGCGTCCATACATAAAAACGAAAATAGTGCAGCCGGGTAAATTGCATAGAATTTTAAATAGTATTTGATGATTTTAAAGGTGTTTGTAGGTCAAAATTCAAAAATGTCTAATTCTTTTTGGTTTACATCGCTCTATGATAGTTTCAATCTTGTTAAAAAATTGTTTAAATTACATTGTGAAAGTTGTTTAAATTTTAAGGCGGCCAAAAATCGGGCATCCCCCAGAGCGTCGGGGCCAAGTATGCATTTTCAACAAAACAATGCATCCTTTTTTGGGCGGTCCAATGGGGGCTGGAGGGGGGAGTGGAAAATTGCTTCCGTTCGTTCTCTCTCTTCTTTTTAGGGCTGCAGCTTATGCTTTTAGGTGTGAAGAGTAGCGGCGCGGAATCGCTGGGAGACCCCCCCCCCCTTCCCGGGGGGGCTATTTTATGGCCTCGTCACTTTCTTGAGTATCACGATGAAGCGTGGATCTGCCACTTTTTATCGTTGTTGTTTTATTGTCTAAGCCAAGCATAGTTCTAGTCCCAAGATCAAAGCCTAATCACAAGCCGGATTCTAAGACTCAGCTTAAGCTTAAGCCTAAGCCTAGGTCTAAGCCTAAGCGAAGCCTAAGTCGAAGCCTAAGCCTAAGCGAAGCCAAAGCCTAAGCCTAAGCAAAGCTTCAGCAAAGCCTAAGCCAAGCCTAAGCCAAGCCTAAGCCAAGCCTAAGCCAAGCCTGAGCCAAGCCTAAGCAAAGCCTAATCATAAGCCTAGCCCTAAGCCTAAGCCCAATCCTAAGCGTAAGCGTAAGCTCAAAACTAAGCCAAAGCCTAAGCCTAAGCCCAAAATTAACTCTAAGCCAGCTTCAATCAATTGAAGCTTGACTTGCGGTGTTACAAAGCCAGAATCTAGGCATAGCTTAAAGATTCTATTCTAGCTGGTTATGGTAGCTTAATCAATTAACCAAAAAACTTATATAAAATTGTTGCATTCTTAAATACCGAAAACACTTAGAGAACCTTTGAAAACTCTATTTTTATCCAGGTTTTGAGGCTTCTCCAGCCTTTTAAAGTTGCGACTCCGACGAGATTGAGGAAGTTCACCCACTCGGAGGGGATGAGTGTCATAAATTGGGGAATGGGGGAGAGAGTGACGGGGCGATTGAGTGTTCGACTGAAAAGAAAAAGGGGAAACCCCGGGCTAGCTATTGGCTTGTTGTTGCTTATTACAACGCGACCTTCCTCTGGACAGCCCTTCCCTACCCTCTTCGTCCCATTCCAAATGCCGATAGATGGCCCTTATCCACACTGTCGCATATCCCGGAAATCCTTGAATTGTCTGCTCTAAATTTAATTAAATTCGATGAATACCGGATGAATTGTTGAACTGCTCGAACTTGCCGGGAGGCCGGAAAATTAGGTTTATTTGTTTATTGATGGCTGGCTCAAGTTAAAATAGGCCTGGCTTAGCATATTTAGGCTTAGGCTGGGGCCTGGCGTAGGCTTAGGCTTAGGCCGCGGCTTAAGCTTCGGTCTAGGCTTGGCTTGGGCTTAGCTTGGATTAGCATTGCTTAGCTTGGCTTAGCTTGGCTTAGGCTCAGGCTTTGGCTTGACTTAGGCTTGGGCTTAGGCCTGGTTTAGGCTTTCTTGAGCTTGGGTGTGGCTTGGGCTTGGCTTAGCTTGGTTTAGCTTGACTTGCTTGGCTTAGGCTTAGGCTTAGGTCAGGCTTTCGCTTGGCCTAGGCCTAGGCTTTTTGAGACGCGCAAACCAGCAGAGATTCCTTGGAATCGACGCGCCGCTAAAAAATTAATTTTTAAAATTTTACTAATTTCAAAAGGAAAATCGAAACATTTTCGCCATCCTTTTTGGCCCTTTCACCGGGGCCCGGGGGCCAGTTTATTTGGTTGGGGCGCTGACGCGGATGGCAACGTCGCCAAGGTTTTGGTTTTTCGACTAAAACTTTCTGGCTTTATACTTAGACGCTTTTCCATATACTTGTCATTTTTGAAATTTTAGCTTCTGAATGACCATGCGGAGACCAATTCTTTTAAAGCGCGAGGCGAGGGATAGCCATGAATTGTGGTTGTTTTTGCCGCGTGTCATCCATTACGCCAACGATTTACGAAAAAATTTTCAAAGAAGCTGGCATGACCGTGATACGCAACGTGTCAGTCCACTCTTTAATTGTGTAACGGATTACGAGCTAGCGCGGCAAAACCGCAAACCAAGAGGTCAAAAACCTAGCCATGCCTTGCCCGTCTCTTTAAAAAATAGCCGCTAACCCAAGAAGGGCCCCGATTTAACCCGCTTACGCCCATAAATCGCTCAGGGGCTTATCGAAGAAGCTGATCAGGCCCTTCCCCCAGTTAAGCCAATAAATTTCGTCTTTTTGGCGGCCTACCAGCATCATTTGTTGATTTGGATTCTCGGTTTCCAGATTTCTTCTCCTGAGTCTTTTTGGCCCGTCTTTTTCTCGCTCGCTCTCTCTCTCTTCACTCTCTCTCTCTCTCTCTCCCTCTCTCTCTCTCTCTCTCTCTTTTCCCGGGCGACAACTAATGGCCAATTTCGGGGCGTTCCCCCTTCCGGACCCCCGTTGTCCATTCTTGGCTTCTTGTGCTTTTTGCCTTCCAGCCTTGGGCCCTAGTATCTGGGGCCAGGGGTCATTTTCCACAAGGTTCATTGCTAGCTGTCCTTTGTTAATTATTTTCCGGTAAGCAAATAACTCAGATTAATGACGTATCCATTAGCGGTCTGCTTGAACTTCTTGGAACCAGCTGGTGCTGTGAGCTAGATAAATCCTGAATGGTTACTTTTTAAAGTCTACAAGAGCCTGATGATCTAACTGACGAATACCAAACAAAATGTATCCATTTTCGTGATTTAAACTGAGCGCGACGTCGAAAATCCTTCAACCTAAATTTTTACATCCTCAAGCACCTCTGCTAGCTGACCCCATCGATTTCCTCATTTTGCTCAGGCTGACGTTTTTCTCCCATTCACCCGGTCGCCTAAAACATGAGTCTCAGGTTTCTGTGCTGCTTGGCCTTCTCCGAAATCCTCAGCTGTTGCCATCCTCTCAAACAAAATCAATTTTTCAGCTATGGGCGAATCGTCGCACGACGCCAAGTTGGAAGTCAAGGTGGGGAACGGCGGAGAGCAAAGGATGTTTGCTGGCCCGCCTTGAGCTCTTCTCGCTCTCTCCCTCTCTCTCCCTCTCTTTCTCACTCATTCTCTTAATTCCAGGAATGCGACATGGGCGAGTCAGAGCAGTTCATCTGCACCGACATCGTGAAGACGGCGCAGAAGTTGTATGAGTTGGACAAGGTAAGTGGGAGATAGCAAGAGAGAGCGAGAGAGAGAGGGGGAGAGAGAGAGAGACTTAATTTTGCCAACTTTGAATTCCAGGACGTGGCCGCATTTTGCAAAGAGGAACTGGACAAGCGGTTCGGGCCCACCTGGCACGTCATCGTGTACGTTACTTTCCTGGGCTTATGCCCAGAAAGTTTCCGAAGTTTCCGTGGTTGCAAATTAGGTTTCAAAATAATTTCGTGGGCCCTAATTTGATTTTCGGGGAGGTTCAGAAATTGGTTGAGGCCGAGAAATGGGCTTTTGTTAAGCTTCGGCTTAGGCTTAAGCTTAGGCTTAGGCTTGGGCATCTTGGGCTTAGAAGCTTAAAAACTAGACCTCAAGCATCACCTTTAGTGGGAAAAGCTTCGGCTCTCGTGTCAGCTACGAGATGAACAACTTCCTGCTCGTCAAGTGCAACCGGGTCAACGTCATGTTATTCAAGTGTGGCTATTAAAATGAGGCCCACTTCCTAAAATTTGCCTACCGTATTCTATCTCATTTTCATTGTATTTTTCTATCAAAAAATCCAAAACATTTTACACACCTACATTTTGTTTCCACGACAATCTAGCAGTGATTTTTGGAGAAAATTTGAATTTTGGCTCATTTTTCTAATTCCACAAGAATCCCTGCTAGCTTGCCTGAATGTCTTGTATTTTCTAGTCATTTTCAATTTTTTGACTACTCCCTCGACGGAAGAAGCAGCTTAAAATTTCAACACCGACACGGGCCAAATTTTTCTATGTATTTTCATATTTCCAGTGCTCAATTTTACCTTGCCTTATCGATTTTGTGTTGAATTTTATTTTTATCCTGATTTGCGGCAATAACGCATTTTTTCGGGCGGTCTCGCCGCGAAAGGCAGCTGTTGTTAGGGGGTCACACGTCAGGAAAAAAGTTGACGCTGATTTGTCAGGGTTTTCGGGGGCGAAAGGGTTTAAAAAGGTAAAACCTCAAGGATTGGAGGAACTTGGGCTGGCTTAGGCTTAGGCTTAGGCTTAGGCTTAGGCTTAGGCTTAGGCTTAGGCTTAGGCTTAGGCTTAAGCTTCGCTTAGCTTCGGCTTAGGTTTAGGCTTAGGCTTGGGGTAGGTTAGGCTAAAAAATATTTTAAGAATAGCTAAATTAAAGGTATTGAAAAGCGAAAAACTACAGGTTTTTCGCTGTTTCCTAGCTTCAGGGCCAGATACTGTAAGCAGGGTTTAAAAGCGCCTTTTTCATCTTTTAGTTTCCACGATGGCGTCAGCGCTACAAAACACAACCCTTCCGGCTAATTCGTGGCCTCTCGATTTTCGAGGGCACACAAAAAGAAGCGCCTGGCATTAGTGCGTGCAAATGAAGAGACAAGGCGCGCCTCTTCTGTCCGCTTTTTGCCACAGCCAATCATCAACGCGGGGCGCGTGGTTGAGCGCAACTCATCTCACGCCCCGCGCCATTCTCCGAGTTTCCTAATTACACCGGGATTTGGTGTGAGATGTAATTTAGCCGATAAATTCCATTAAATTAGAGGTAATCCAGCGAAAATATCACGAAAAGTTTGGTAATTTGATGGCATGCTAGCTTGTCAAGCTAACCAAGCTACTACGGTGCTTTTCCATTACCCGAGGGGATTATGTCTATCAGGGAGAAAGCGATTTTTTTAGAAAATGTCATTATTTTCCAGAACTCCCGAGCAACGTAATTTAAGTTTTTAATTGATTTTGGCAAAATTTAATTATAGCTCAAGGCGGAAACACTAAAAATACTTTTAAATAGTTACCAAAACAAGAGTTTTTGGTCGAGAATTGGCCGTTTTTGGTCGAAAAAGCGTTGTTTTTTTTTGTAGTTTTACACAAAAAAATCGTAACAACTTTGAATTTAGAGAAACTTCTCTAAATTTAACGTCAAAAATAGCAAAAATAACATTTTAGATGATAAAGAAAAAGGTTATTTTTGCCTCATCTTCCTCCCCCGAAATTCAAAAGAACGGGCCGGGAACCTGATCAAAGAAGGTGCGAGGCAAGCTAGCAGAGATTTTGCGGTCAAACCGGGGGAAGCGCGATTTATTTGAACGTTCCGGAAAATCCGGAAGTCGCCAGGACAATCAACTGGAATAATATTTCAAAACCCTTGCTTTTTCGGCAGGCTTTACTCATCAAATATCCCCTCCTCCTCCACGATGTTCGCCTTCCTGCCAAATATCACCGGGGTATTATTTGGGGGGTGATGAGGTGAGGAGCGGTGAGTGGAACCAACTACTGTTCAACGCCCTTTTTCCCCGGCCGCGCGCTGCTGCTGCTCGGATATGGCAAGAATGAGCAAGAGGGAGGGGAGAGGAGGCCCAGCAAAAAGCGAACGGACCGCGCCGGCCGCCGCGCGGATTTCGAATTTTCATCCGGCACCTTCTATCGGCTATCCCCGCCCCTCGCCAACGATGGTTTCTTATTGTAACCGGCTGGAAATCATTGTTTCTATTTTGTTTTTATGGTTTTTTTCGTGTTTTTTATACTTATACAAGCTTTCCCCCTTTTTTTAAGTTAATAAAGCGTTATCAGTACTTTTGCCATATCGGGGGGTGGGGTGTCAGGGGCAAATTAAATTTGTCTTCTTGTTGGAAAAAATGCGAATACGAAATCGAAAATCTAAGTTCCTGTGCCTTTTGAATAACTTTTTAAGCTTTTTGCCGTTAGGGATCAAAAAACCAGTTTAGAAGCGCTGCCTATTTTTTCAAATTTTATTTCTTATTAGATTTTTTTATCTAGAAACTGGTTGCTCTAGAAAAAAATTTTATTCGCAGCCTCCCCCGCCCACGATAACGTCAAAATCTTGTTATATTTTTAATGGGCTCTTTAATTTCGGAATTTCGGCTTCCTTATGGCTTCACACAGCTCGAAAATACGATAGATATCTACCTATTTAGTTCAGAATCCCCTTTACCGTAGGAATTTTTAAGAAAAAAGTGGCCGCCGCAACGCGTCAAACTCTACCGTCGCGCTGGATTTCCGCAGGCGCGTCAAAGTCAATCTAAGCAAAAATACGCATAACGGAGCAGCCTAGATCTGGTTTTATTTAAAACAAATCCACCCTCAAATCGGAGCAGTTCATTACGCCTCTAGTTTTGATTCAATTCTCCAGGTTTTTATCTCCAAAGCAAATATGGTTTTTGATCTTTTAGGTACCAAAAAGCACCCACACTTCTTTGCACGTCACATATCTCGGTGCCGGGCAAGGAGGATGGGGGCTCGTTGGGTGTGTCTACTCTCCTCATCCTGCCTAGTTCTCGTGCTCATCTCCTGGGGGGCACTCGTCTTCCTTGTTCATGACCTCCTCGATCTGCACCACGAGATCACCGACGGGGTGCGCCATTTTCAAGCTATGCACGATGAGGCGTGGACGAGGATTGAGCATCAGCTGCCACTGAATGAGCGGAGGAAGTTGGCGAATGCTGAAGGTTAGTGGGTTGGGCTTATTAGCTTTAGGCTTGGGCTTAGGCTTCTGTTTAGGCTTGGCACAGGCTGAAGTTTAGACTTAGGCTTATGCTAGGCTTGGGTTTAGGAGTACTGAGGATTAAGCTTGGTCTTAAGCCTGGCGTAGGCCTAGGTTTTGCCTAGGCTGAGGCTTAGGCTTAAGTTTAAGCTCAGGCTTAGGCGTAGGTTTAGCTTTAGTCATAGGCTTCGGCTTCCACCTATGACCAGCGTTCACAGAAATTTTCGTTTCAGAAAAAATCCGCAAACGACGCCAACTCCAAATCCGACTCCGCGAGGTGGCCATGCCCGGTGGATCGAGCACCTCAGATAATGGTGGCAGCTTCACCTCGGCTTTCGGGGAATCGAATGCAGGAAATGGTGAGTGTAGAAATTAAGTTTTTTTTTTCTACCCAATTCTTCCACAGGCGAATTCGCGGAAATCGATGGACTGCTCAGAAGCTACGGACTTGACGGGAACCCACAGCAAAAGCCAAAAGGTAGGCACTTCCGGTTGAGGATACGCTTTTTAGGGTACGGCTGCTCGCGTTGCGCTTCGACTCGGTATCTCAACAGTTTCCCCAGCTATCGGGCCGTCTACAATTTCCACGACCAGAACCCGGGGTCGTTGAGGATCAAATTTACGGGAGGATTTGGGCCTGGACAGGTGAGAAAGAAGAGGGAGAGAGAGAGCGATAGAGCGAGAGAGAGATAGAGCGAGAGAGAGCGAGAGAAAGAGAGAAAGAGAGAGAGAGAGAGAGAGAGAGAGAGAGAGAGAGGGGGGGAGGCAGAGAGAAAGCGCCAGAGAGAGAGAGGGGGAGCGAGAGAGTACGAGTGAGAGAGCGAGATCGAGAAAGCGGTAGAGAGAGTGAGAGTGAGAGAGACAGAAAGGAGAGAGGGAGAGAGCTACCTGAAAACCTTAAAAACTATAAACCTATACCTTAAAAAACTATCATAACTTTTAATAACTTAAACCTTAAAACTATAATGACTTTGCCGTCATATTAAGCTCGTCTAATGCTAGATAATTTACACTTACTTGAATTATTAAGCCTTCTAAACCTCAAAAAAAACTATATTAATACCAACAATTCGACAGTTACAAAACCGTAAATCTCAGTCAAACTCTAGAACGTTAAAACGAAACCAAACACTGAAATAACCCTCGCAACCGGTTCAGGAAGTCAGTCTCAAACCCGGGGAGACGGTGACGTTTACTGGAGGTTTGGCAGGGTGCCAAACATGTCAGAATTCCGGGCAACAACCCCGTACGGAGCCGACAGGGCCTCGAGACGAACAGGATGATGTCGATGATTTTGGAGGAGGGGATACCGACAAGAAGCAGGTCCGAACATCACTAATTGTTAGAGGTATCCGGTGGAGTGCTAAAAACGCTTCTGCGATACAGTAAGGTCTGTCTTTGCACCACTGTCCGTAACTATACTACGGGCGTTTCCATAACTTTCCGTTGCTTTCCGTATCTTTCCGTAACTGTGCTACGGACATTTCCGTAAAATTCCGTATCTTTCCGTAACTGTGCTACGGACATTTCCGTAAAATTCCGTAACTTTCCGTAACAATCCTATCCACTTTCCATTACTTTATTATTAACAAACTATACTGTACTTTGCAATTATCTTTTAGTGGGCTTTTTATTAAGGTATAATCCAATATATAATTATTTATTTATATAATCTAACCAACCGCACGACACTTCTATGCAATCTATCCCCCTCTCCAATTAATGCGCCGTATAACCCAAATTACCTGAAATTTCAGCCCCCCAGCGACAGGCATATTACCCCGAAAAAGCGGCCAGCCCCGCGCATTTTTAGAAATTTTTACCACTTGAAGGTCGGTGTTGAGGAGGTTGTGGATATTGTGGACTTGCCTGGCCCTTTAAGGAGTGTTAAAACCGCGAATTTAAGGAATACATAACACATTAGGTAATTTGCTATCAGTCTATTGAAATTCATTTTCTCGAAATTATTTTTTTCGAAATTTGACAAAATCGCAGAAAAACATGCATTAATAGGATATGCATTAGCAAACTTAAATTTCGCCAAAAGTTATATTTCGCCAAATCGAAATTTCGACATAATAAATTTCGATAAATTTAAATTTCCACAACCGCTCGACAAAATGAGTATCGGCAAATTACAACTGTTTTTTCGACAAGACGAATTTAAACCGGTTGCATTTCAACAAAATAAATTCGACAAATTTAAATTTCAACAAAGCGAATTTCCACAAATCGAAATTTCCAAATAATGATGTTGGACAAAATAAATTTCGACAACTTGACATTTTGATATTTCGCAAAATTGAATCTCAGCGCATTGAAACGTCCACAAAATGAATTTCGACAAATTGAAATTTTGATATTTCGCAAACTCGAATCTCCGCGCATTGAAAGGTCGACAAAATGAAATTTCGACAAATTGAAATTCGACAAAATCCCTTTCAACGTAATGAAAACCAGCCACTTTAGGTGATCGAGGTGCACGAGAATGACAAAGACACATTCAATCTGCCGGAAGACGCCCCGACGGAAACGCCGACCGGATGGGATAGTTGCCCGAATTGTCGACGACCAACTTCCGAAGAATCTAGTGAGGAGGAGGATGGAGGGTCGAGAAATGATGGGCGACAGTTTGAGGAAGAGTCGACGAGGAGACCAGATGATGAGGTGCCGCCCTATGTACCCATGCCATATCATCCCTCAAACAGGTCCGTATGGTTCTTTGGCATTATCGGGGGGGCGGAATTTTTCCGATGTCCAGAAATTCCTAGAAACTTCATAGTAAGGATTTTACAAGTGTTTTTGGGAAAAAATTATCTAGATTTCCCATGAAAAAGCATCTAGAAATTTGCAAAGTAAAATTAAATCGGAAATTTTGGCCAAAAATCGATAATTTTATCTACAAATAAAATAACAAAAAAGTTTCCGTAATTTAATTTTCATATCGGAAATTCTATTCCTAAATTTATTAAAAAGCCTGTATTTCTAGTTTAACAATTTATATATTTCCAGTGAAAAATCGTAGAACGCAATTTACAAACTCATATGTCAACTAGAAAATTGGTTCCTGAGTAAAAAAAGTTGGTACCCTTCCCCCCCCACCCCCGATAATGCATAAGCCACGCTTCTGCCACATTTCGCTGAAAAATATCATATTTTCAGGGGTCCCGACGAGTATCCGACGCCTCCCACAACAACACCCGGCTACGCCCTTCCCCCAGAGACTACGCGAGGCTACGGCACCCCACCCACCACCACCCAGGGCTACGCACCGCCGCCGGCTGAAGATCAAACATACGGCACCGTACCCCCAACGACTACGCGCGGATACGGACGGCCACAGTATGTCCCGCCCGTGTATCAGACCCCCCAGACAACGACGATGGGCTATGAACGGCCACGACCCCAGAATCCGTACTTACGCCCGACGACGATAGCCCCGAGGAGGCCCAATTCGGAGGAGTCTTCTGAAGAGGTACGGTGGCTTACGGTAGTTTAATGGCTCAGTTTTAGGATCTGGGTGGAGTGAAGAATACGGGTTGGAAAGAGGAAGAAGAGCGTCCACAAACACCCTATGGACACTGCCATTGCACTTGTCCGATGATACCGCCGGATTATTGTCCGAGGGGACCGCCTGGTGGGTT